GGGGGGTCATCGATAACGGGAGGGGAACCAGGGAACATCGATGACCAGGGAGATCATCAGTGACAGGGGGATCATCAATGGTCTGGGGGATCATCAATGACCGAGGGGAATCACTGGTAATTAAGGTGGGATCACCAATGACCAGGGTGATCATCAATGACTGGGGGGATCAGGAAGAAATATTCCCAATATCCAATTAAACCTCCCCTGGCACAGCTTGAGGCCATTTCCCCCCGTCCTGTCCCTTGTTCCCTGGGAGCAGAGCCCGACCCCCCCCTGGCTCCCCCCTCCTGTCAGGGGGTTGTGGAGGTGCCACAGGAGCAGCCCCAGCATCCCCCCCTCCAGCAGGACCATCCCCACACACCAGACTCTCTTCCCAAACTCTCTGCCATTCCAGGACCATGGAAGGCTGCCAGGACGAAGAACTATCAGGGGCACTTTTTTAATTTGAGCTCATTAAGGCCTGCAGAGCATCAGTGCTGTGCATTCCCTGGGAATTCCCAAAATAGCAGCAAGATCCTTGGTTAGTTTTTTGCAACATTGTCACTCTCCCTTCCTAATTCCTGATCCACAAAATACTTTGTTACCAACTCACATGTTACATGTTGGATTTTTACTCCAGAATTTCACAACAGAGATGGACACCAGAGTGAATGGAAGTGAAACCTCATCCTATTAATCATCTCCAGCATTAAAACACAATTCCTTCATATCCACAACCCCCCTCTGTAGCACAGGAATTCTCCCAGTAGGGCTTTATAATTTGGGATTTGCAGATCCCACCATAAAGTGTCTGATTTGCAGAGAAATTCTAATTCAAGCCAAAAAAAAACAACCCGACACTTCTGTAGGAAAACAAAGTTTGTTTCCCAAATTCCAAATAATAACAAAAGCAATCACCTAAGAAAGTCATTGCAGTGAGTTCTCTCAATTTAAATACAAAAACTCTTCCTCCGTTTCACTCCCTCACCCCCAATTCTTCCCATCACAACACAGAATAAAAAGTGGAAGGACATTTTCAATGAAATCTAAATATCTGAAAGTGCTTCATGTTAACACTGACCTTAAAATAAACTTACTTTAAAGAGGTCAGATGGTGCCACTGATGCTTAATTTCACAGCTTTTGTTTTCAACACCTTCATGTTTTTTTCCATTTCCTTCATCTCCATTTGTGAAAAGCTCAGTGGTTGAAGCCTTTGCTTAATGGGACATAAATGCAAATTCCTGCACAAGCAACTGGGTCTGGAAACCACTCTGGAGCCAAAGAATTCATGGAAAACAGTCAACATTTAATTTGAAAAGTTATTTATTTTGAGAACTTCAGCTTGCACATTGTACAAAAATTTGACAAATTCAACAACAACAACAAAAATCTATAAAATGCTGTGGGGTGGGGTTTCTTTTCCCTAACATATTAACATAATAGTTTTCCAAAGGGTAAGAGTTAAGAAAACCAAAAATAGGCACATTTGTTCCAGTCTGTCTGCAGTAAAGTGTGATTAAAAACATCCCTGTCTTGTTGAGGTATCGAACTGCAAACTTTTGTAATGGTAGAAAAATACAAAGTGAGCCTTCTCGGTGGCAGGTCCAATACAAAATGGTTCATAGAAAAAGCCAGAATTGGTTATTTTTCATTTCCAGGTGGAAATGCAGCGAAACAAAGGAAAAAAACACAACCCTTAATTCACCTATCACTAGGAAACCTGATCCTCTGCAAATCCACACTAATCACACACAGCTACAGTGTTCCATGTTACCAAAGATCTGGCTGGCAAGTTAAAAACGTTTCAGTGCTTATGAAAAAAAAAAAAAAAGATATATATGGTGATTCAGAGCCCAGTCTTCCAGCAAAGGACAAAAGGCACTTAAGGATGGCTTTAGGATATTCCACAATGGCATCTCGGGACAGAGGACAGCGCCTGGCTGAACAAATCCTTCCCTACAACAAGTCCAGTGAGGTAGTACTTCATATTGCTCCAACTACTTGGCTCTAAGCAAGCAGCTTTATGGTTTTGAGAATATAAAATTAGCAGGAAATGGCTTTTTTGTCAAACGTATAAAACCCCAGTTCTTACAAAAAAAAAATAGCAAATACCCACTTGTGGTACAAAGCCAGGAACCAACTTGTACAAATTTTGAGTATCAAAATGCTGCCAAGGTGATGCACGAGTCTACCTTGATGGCCAAATCCCCAGACAGTGAAGATTGTTCTAGCAACCAAGCCATTTTTTGGAATAAAAAAAATAAAAATAAAAATAAAAGGGGGGCACGGGGGGCACTCTGAGAACTTTCCTCATCATTAGCAGCCTCACCGGAAGCACTTTCAGTCCATTAAGAACAAATAATTCTGTGCTGAATGAGTGGCAGGTTTGAGGGGAGAAAAAAACCACAACAATTAAAAAAAAAAAAAGCAAACTTCAACATTTAGAACAAAAACGAAAATCCACGAACGCACAAAAAGGACAGTCCTTGGAGTTTATAGGTTTTTAAAAACGAGGAAGACTTCAAACCTTTTTAGGGGGGGTCTGGGAGAACACAGACTACAGGTTTGCTGGTTTGTTTGTTTTTGTTTGTTTGTTTTTTTAAATTAAGCCCGTGGTTTAAGTGTGAACCCAAGGGAAGGAGAAGTGCTTTAGGGAATCACCGGCCGTTGCCGTAGCCAGGGAAGAGCTGGGTGAGGATGTCCTGCAGGGCCTCGTTCACCTCCATGCTGTAGGTCTTGCCCAGGTCGTAGCGACAGGCAGGGCAGCTGTACACGTCAGCCCTGAAGGATCTGTCCAGACAGTCCTGAGGGACACAAGAATTCCTGGTTAAGGGATGTGTGCTTCCAGAGTTTCAGCTGGGAAAGGGCCGAGGTGGAGAGAAAACTTCGCTCTGTGCACCTCAAGATGTTCCAACCACCACCTCCAATGCTCCCAGGAAACCAACATCATTTTGGATTCCACATCATCTCATCATCATCAAACCCATTAAAAGCAAAGTGGTCAGAAAAGGGTGGTTGGAAGGGATAAAGCAGCAGAGAAAGGGAAGGATCTGTCCTGAGAACAGAGGGGAACAACACGGCAGCTTCTGAAAACTACTGAGGCCAAATGGGAACTGCCTGGGATGAGATGAACAGGTAAAGATGGCACAGAATGGTTTGGGTTGGAAAGGACCTTAAAGATCCCCTTAGTCCCCCAGCAGTGACACTGAACCCTCAGAGAAGCTCTCAGCTCCCTGTAAAAGAACCAGGGAGTAGCAACCCAAGACTGGAACTTCCTCTAAAAGACAGACTTTTCTATGCCAAAGAACTTCCATCAAATCACAGTTTTCACATATCAAAGAATAGTTTGAGTTGGAAGAACCTCAAAACTCATCCTGTTCTACCCCCTTATTAATAATGGCCATAATGCTTATTGTTGTTTTAATTTAATAAAGTAGAGTCACAGAATGGTTTGGGTTGGAAGAACCTTAAAGCTCATCTTGTTCCACCCCCTGCCATGGGCAGAGACACCTTCCACTAGCCCAGGTTACTCCAACCCAGCCTTGGACACTTCCAGGGATCCAGGGGCAGCCACAGCTTCTCTGGGAAATCCATCCCAGCCCCTCCTCACCCTCCCAGCCAAGAATTCCTTCCCAGTATCCCACCTAACCCTGCCCTCTGCCAGTGGGAAGCCATTCCCCCCCCTTGTCCTGTCCCTTCATCCCTTGTCCAAAATCCCTCTAAACCTGACTAATGCTAAAGGACAAATTCCTGGCAGAAATCCCAAGCAAACCAAGCCCTCCCCAGGTCCCTCCAAGGCTGAGCTCAGCAGGGCCCAGGTTCCCTCACCTTGCACACGTTGTGTTGGCAGACGGTCGTGACGGGCCGGAACACGACCTCCTGACAGCAGATACACAGGAAGGCCTCTTCCACCTTACTGAGGAATTTCTGGGAAGGCAACATTGGAATCAAGTTATTGCCACCACCCTCTGAAACCCAGAACCCCACCCCACGTTAAATGTAAGGGATTATTTCCATCACGGAAAGTTTTCCCATAAATCTTGAAGTGTAAAAACAGTCACATTAAATGTGCTGGGGATGTCCACACTAAAATAAAACCACTGTAGGTCTTCAGGCTGTTTCTTTGATGCAGCCAAGGTTTGTATCCAGGGACAGCACAGCTACAGTTGTCCCTTTATTTCTGGGAATAAAGTCCCTCTGGGGATAAAAAGCAGGATGTACCGGTCCATCTTTGAGAGCCTCTAGTACTTCATTCCACAGTTTTTCATTGGCTTCATCACTTTTTATGAGAGATTTCTGCTGGGCTGTCAGCTTGTATGGCTCAACTTTAGTTTTCTTTGGGGTCCCTGCTGGAGAGGTGACGGGTTTTTCCTCCCCACCTGAAAGAAAACAGTGATTTTTTTGAACAACCAAATAAAAAATCACCAGAAAAGAGACATTAAGTAAAATGCACAAAAAAACCTACAAGGCTTTCTATATCCACTTGCCTACTCCACAAACCTGCTGATTTCCTTTTCCTCTTTCCTTTCCCCGGGGTATCAAACTCATCCTCTCCATTATTTTCTTTTTCCTTATCTTTATTTGCAACAGCTTCCAAATATCCTTCAGGATACTACAAGGAAAGAAAACAAAGAGCATCCAACGCAGACACATCAGTTCAGGCTCAACAGACTAATACAGGTCCAAGGCTGACCTCTGGAGAACTGCTCCAGGGGCAGTTTTAATCTATTTTAAGCAACACATCCCTGCTTTTGTTGAAGCACTTATGCAGATTATGGAAATTTTGTATAAAAAAAAGTGAGTTTTTGCCCTTTCAGCCTCCTGATGTATAAAGAAAAAAAAAATCTCACAGGAATGGAAGCATTTGTGCCCCCCCTCAGTTTGAATTGTTACATAAGGATCATCCTCAATAAGAGCATGGAACAGAAAAATTCCTCCTATCCATCAAGTTCAGTGTCCAGGTGATGTCTCAAGGGAGTACCTGCATTGTTAGGCCAAGCTTTTTCATCCTGTCCTTTCCCTCTTTGGTCCAAGGAGCAGGTTCTTCATCGTCCCTCCTGAGCAGGTAACGCCACACTAAAAATCCAGATTTCCCCGTCTCGGGCCAGTATTTCACCACCTGGAAAAGTCAGAGCGAGTCCATCACATGCTGGAAAACCCCATGGCCAAGTGCTGTGAGGAGAGGCTGAGGGAGCTGGGGCTGTTCAGCCTGGAGAAGAGGAGGCTCAGGGGAGACCTCCTCACTCTCTGCAACTCCCTGACAGGAGGGGGGAGCCAGGGGGGGGTTGGTCTCTTTTCCCAGGCAACTCTCAGCAAGACAAGAGGGCTCAGGGTCTGCAGCTGTGCCAGGGGAGGTTTAGGTTGGATATCAGGAAGAATTTCTTTGCAGAGAGGGTGATCAGCCATTGGAATGGGCTGCCCAGGGAAGTGGTGGATTCTCTGTCCCTGGAGGCTTTTAAGGTGAGACTGGATGTGGCATCAGTGCCATGGGCTGGGAACCACAGCGGGGTTGGATCAAGGGTTGGATTGATGATCTTAGAGGTCCCTTCCAACCCAGCTGATTCCATGATTCTGTGATTCTGTACTTCCTGTGTTTAAGCTCCCAGGTTCAGTCTGTGGTCCTTCCCTGAGACTGCCAGGAGAGCAGAGTCGGGGTGACAACTGTCAGGGTGACAGCTCTTGTCTTGTCCCACCCCTGAGCAGTGCCAAGGACCTCTGAGCCTCACGTGGCTCACACAGGATCTCCTGGAAGTGAAGATCTGGCAGCAGAGACCACGAGACTCTGCTCAAACTGTGGGTGCAGTGGAGACCCTGAAGAGGCAGCTGAGGATTCTGAGATCAAAAGCTGACATGGGGATATTCAACTTAGCTTAGATGATCCTGTGGCTCAGGATCATCACTTTTACTGTAGTTTTTCCTTGTCTAATTTTCTTCTGAAGAAAATTAAGTGAAGATGGGCAAGTGTCTGATGTGGAGTGTAAAAAGTAACTAAGGCCAAGTCTTTGTTTTAACAAGTTAGTTTGGTTCTGGGCATAAATAATCAAAATTTACTTACTATGTCATCTTCATAGCCTCCTGCCAGGACCAAGGAATAGGCCCCATCGTTGCTTCTGCCATGTATCCCTGCAACATGGGGCCTGTGCACTCCGGATTCGCTCACCTGGAAAACCAGAAACAGTTTGCAAGGCTCCAAACAACATGATCACCCCTTGGCCTTGGGGCTGAACCAAACACTATTTCAGATTTGGGTTGAAACTGCTCTCACCACTATCCTCCAAAAAACCTCCACGTAGAGGAAAGAAAAATAAAAATGCTTCTAAAAAAATGAGCCATCAAGTATTTCAGTCAATTGAACACGTGGGTAAGTTTTGTGATGTGAATTTAGAAATTTGGATCTTGCTGAGATTGCTTACTAAAAAGCTCCAGGGATTTAGGAATAATATGGATATTAAATATTTTTATAAAAGGATTGGTTTTGAAAGACTTGTAATAGCAACCTTCACCTAATGCTTAAAAAAAGATCTGGATAGGTCAGTGCTTTTTATTTCCCCAACTTTCTAACAGGATGAGAAACCTTCTTTTTTTGTAATACATGTAAATATTTGAGAGACTCTTTCCAGGGGAACAGTGGGAGATACTACAGAACTCCAGGACAAACTCCTGGAAACAAATATGTTTGCTTTGGGTTTTTTGAGTTACCAAAAAGAGCACTAAAGAAAAATAAACCAGCACTTGATAGGCCTGGACAACACAACATTAGTTCTGGAACACTTGATCCAGACAAAGCCAGAATTCTTTCCCTCCTGCACTTACACATCCAGGGACACACACTCCGAGATTAACTGTTTCTTGTAAGAGCTGGACCATTCCCATTTTCCCAATTTTTCAGGCCAGGATTCAGCTTCATACCTGAACTCTGAACTTCCACATGGTGCCAACAGGAATGCCAGGGATTGGTCCATAGTGGTTGGAGGGGACGATGGTGCATTCCTTGGTGCGGCCGACACACGCCATGCCCTGAGTCAGAGAGACCAGTGAGCCAAGAATCCAAAGGGATTTAACAGCAACACACTGATCTTGAGAGTAAAACAGCTCTGAACTGACCTTGCCCCAGTCTCTCCTTGAGGATGAGTTGGCAGATGCCATCTTTTGTTTCTTTTTGCTTTCTTTTAACCTCTCTCCTGCTAAAACCACCTCACTCGCATCGTTTCGACACTCGGGGCAATACCTGAAGTCAGTGAAAATTAACAAGTAGCAAAGCCTTGAATTAAAAGGGAATTCCATCAAAACATACTGAGTTATGTTACAATTTCCCACGTGAAACTAGATAGGACATGGAACCTCTCCATACTGGAATTAGACCTGTATCAGCTGCTGTCCTTGCAGCACCTTCTGAGGCACTGCTGATGTGTCAGGACAACAGCTCTATCACAAAATCATTGTATATGATGCTGAAAGAGGGCAGAGGGAATAAAACAGTGTATTTTACTATCTATATGTATATTGAAAGCTGTATTTCACTCTCTGTATCTGTCACTGTATATATTTCATATCCAAACCAGCATCCATCACCAGCCCAATCTGATGGTGGGGCCTGGGGACTGCCTGGAGTGACCCAGGAAAGGCACTGCACAAGTGAAGCCTCCTGGTTCTCATTTGGGATTTGGAAGGGACCTTAAAGTTCATCTCATTCCACTCCCTGCCACGGGCAGGGACACCTTCCACTATCCCAGGTTGCTCCAAGCTCATCCAGCCTGGCCTTGGATACTCCCAGGGATGGGGCAGCCACAGCTTCTCTGGGCAACTTGTGCCAGGGCCTCCCCACCCTCCCAGGGAGGAGTTTCTTCCCAACCTGGCCTTAGGCAGGTATAGAAAACAGGCATCCAGATCCCAAAACTCAGAAAAGAAGCTGGAAGCCACTGGCCTAAAACCTACTCTCACAAGCTCAAGGAAAGCTATGAAATCCTATCAAAAAAACCCCCAAAACACACAAACACCTGTGCAGTTACAACATTGCCACCAAAGGGCAGCTTCAAGCCTCAGACCTCACTTTCTGCTCCCAATTAGATGGTAATTGTGATCCCACACCCAGAACTCACCAGTCCTCATCATCTGGGATGCTGCTGAGGGGAGGGTTGAGGCAGTAGATGTGGAAAGCCATGTCACACTCGTCACACATGAGCTGCTTGTCTGGATCTTGTTTCCCTCCACAGATGTGACAAGCACAGACTCTGCAGGTCTTGTTTGGGTTGTCCTTGCAGGCTTTACACACAGGTCCACTCTGCCCTGTGAGCAGACAGAAAGCAGAGTCAGAAAGGGCCAAGATCCAATGGAAATAGTTGAAGGAGGCACAACTAAACGTGTCCTGAGACTCTCAGACCTTTGATCCTCCCAAGGACAATCAGCAGAACATCACAGGGTAACACAGACGTGCAAGAGCTCCCCAAGACTCACGTTTTGGTGTTCCAGCTGGGATGGGGGAAGCACTGCCTGGTTCCTCAATTTTATAGATTTCATCCACTAACATGATTGTGCAGTCGTTCAAGGAGTCACCAGCTTCCCTGTGAGTTGAGGAAAGTAAAAGAGATCAGGCTTTGAAAGTATCCCACAGCAGGAGTTCACAGCTGTGCATGTACCAGACTGCTCTGGTGTTAAGAATCAAATCATTTTTGTGCAATTAGAGGGTATCCCCTTTTGTCTCAGTGAGATTCCAAGCACTCAGAGCATTCCAACTATCATCAGTGACTGTTCTGCCTCCCTCCAAGTATATTCCAGACTGATTCTTCTTGTATTTTATAGTTAAAAAGTCAAAATCCCTGTAGTGAGAGGGGAAAAAAAAAGGAATATTCTGGTAACCCTGTGAAAATTATCTAAAACTTTTAAAAAGTATATCCTTTTTTTTTCTGAAGTTGAAAGTCTCCAGGAGAGAACTGGAGTAACTTTTCATCACCTTTATAAAATGAGGGTTTGTTCTACATTATCATACCTCCACACAACATTACACTGCAGCTTTTGTGAAGCCATAATGGATAATTAACACATAAAACAATGCTTTGTAGTGAATATGGGGCTTCACATCCTCTCAGCATCGAGTGAGTCCATGGAACAGTATCTTCTGTGATTCCTTAGAGTGTCCAATTCCTCAGTGGAAGTTAATCAAAACTGCAGCATGAAGAAGTCAATCCCCCAAAAAGGACAGGCCACTTCTCACCTCTCCCCAGCACTTCTGTTGCACCATTTCTTGAGTCACCCAGACCTTGGGAAAGCTTGAGAAAAGTCGGGGAAATTCACTTTATTCCCCGTGACAGATTTGCTTACCCGAGTAGGATCTTTGCATTGATCTCCCTGGTCATTTTTGTTTCCCTTTTCTGCAGGATCTCAGCATCATACCAAAAGCCCCTCTCTTTTGGCTCATCAGGGTTGTAGTTGACCATCACCACCTGTCCTACTTCCAGCTGGTGCCACTTCAGAATAGTCCGTGCCCGGGCCCGAACGTTACTGGAGCTCATCTGCACCACTCCATTCTCTGGATAACTTGGAGGGAGGGATGGAGGGACAGAGAAGGAAAATCAGATTCAACATCAGTTTGAGAAGCGACAGATTTTATCCAGGCAGGTCGATTTTGCTGTGCAACACAAGAATAACATGAAGAATAAAATCTCCTGCTCCCTCCCAGACACAGCCAGAACCAACCGGTCTAACACTGCTACTCATGCACCCCATTTAATCTGGATAACAGCATTTCATATTTCCAAAAAACACGATTCCAGCCCCCCTGGAACTCCAGCTGTAAAACAACCTTACAGTGACACAATCCCTGGTTTACCTTGTGGATCTCTGCACTAAAATTTCCCACCAGCATCATGACCAAAATGACTTTATCAGGCAAGAAGGCAGAGAACTCACTCGTCATATTTGACGTGATAGATCACATCTTCCTCAGGGACAGGGTCTGTGCAGCTCTCAGCTGCTTCCCTGGGAGGTTTTTTCCTGGTCACATTCACAACCTGGGCTTCAAACCACGCTCCCATGTCCGTGTCCCGGGCGTCCACCAAGTCGTTGATCTACACAGAGCAAAGGCTGCAGCTCACCAAAGTGGATTTACAAATTAACCATTCATTTCCAAACCTACTTGAAGCTTTCATCACCTCAAGAACTTCACCACTATCAATATGTCTTAAAAATTAACATTTCCTTTGCTTTCCTGATCCTGTGCAGTCCTCCAGTCTGCTCAGGTTGAACTTAAAAGATTATAAATCCATTTTACACCACCAGGTTTCTTAGCAAGCACAAACCATTCTTGCTTAGCCTGTAGCAGACTTTCAAACTGTCTTGCTCACAGCCTGGCAAAGACATCACTAGATCTGTAATAAAACCCATTGAAACACACCAGTAAAATGATTCTCAACAGCTGCTTGAGATTTTCTTTTGTTCATTCAAGAAAAGTTTCAGCTTTGGCAAACATAGTGACTCCAAGCAAAAATATTGGGAAGATTTTTAAAATCAAACCAGGCGCTCTGAATGCCTTTTTGGGCTTTTTTTTTACAATCAATTAATGTATTCTAGTTTCAGTTCAAAGGATAAAATGAAAAAAAAAAAATCAATATTTTGACCTACAACATGTCGCGTTTTGTGGCTTTGTGGGTCTGTTGGTATTGTTGTCTTTGTTGTTGGAGGGTTTAAGAGAAAAAAAAAAGGAACTACCCACACAATTGGGGCATAAAGGATTTTCAGAAACCCTCGACCGCAGAGGAACAATTCCCACCCGAGGGGAGATTTTGAGGAATCTGAAGGTTTTTTTTGATGAACTCACCTTATAGAGGCCAAAGACAGGGTGGGTCCAGTCGGGCTGTGCTGCTGTGCTGGGCTGGCCCTCCAGTTCCAGGGCACCCTCTCCGTTGTGGGAGCTCTTGTCGGAGTCGCTTTGGCCGGAGCCGCAGCCGGAGTCGGTGTCGGAGAGCTCGGAATCCTTCTCCTTGCTCACAGCAGGAAGCACTGCTGGGCTTTGTCTGACCAGGAGCTGAACAATATCATTGAGTCCCACGCTGTAATCGAAAAGGGAGTGACCATCTTCCATCTGCAGGGAAAGCACCAAAGCAGCTGGTTACTCCCTCCGCCCGCTCCCAAACCTTCCCGCTGGAACGGTCTCCACGCGCCAAGAAAGAACACGTGGCTTTAAAACCATCCACAGTCACTTCACCATCACACTTTACTGTTACATTGGTGTTCTTGCTATTTTATTACTGGTTTTCTTACTTTTTTTTCCAAAGACCCCACGAGTTACAGGAACAAGGTTTCCATGTTGCCCTGGACTTGTTACCAGACTAAACCACTAAACCACCTCTGAGAGGTTTTGCAGCACATTTCCCTAGAAATATCAATTCTGGGAAGAAGAACTTAAAGAGTTACAGATCCCCAACGTTCCCATCAGGATCTGAAGATAATTACATGTTACCTACAGATTAAAAAAGGAATTATTTCTTCCTTAATTCAGACACATCCTGAACACTAACACAGACTGGTCTTTATATTGAAATTCTGTATGATCCAGATTGTTCTTACACCATCTTAATTGTGGCATTGAGTAGAAGCCAAAGAGTCAATCACCCACTTTTCTCCAGGCAAACACACAATTTTTCCATTGCAAGTAAAATCAAAAAAAAGACCCAATTCAACTTGAAACCACCTAACCTCTCTTTAGCTTGTCCTAATTTCACAAGCTCTGTAATTCTGAGAGTTTATTTGGCAAGTCTGGCACTGGATGTAGTCAAATCAAGACCCTGCCCCTGCAAAAGGAGAAGTGCAGAGGCACAAATAGGTCTCTGAAGCACCTCTCAAGAGCTCTGAGGAGCACAAGCATTTGAGGGTTAACATGTAAGAGTGGAGCCCTCGGAGCAGTCAGAAGTTCAGACAAGCTTCCCCACATATTTAAGGTCTGACTAAGAAATTGTACAGGAAATGATCGTCCCCTTCCAGCCCAAACCACGAGAAAAAGCAATCCCTGGAGCTTTGTTCTCTATCGGGGGGGGGAAGCAGAGCAAAAACCACAAAAATTTACACTTCACAGGAATCACTCTGATAATTCAATTCTGATTTATGGCATCGAACGCCTGCGGAACAATCCCGGGAAATCTGAGTGCGCGGGAAGCGATCCGGGCTTTTTCTGGGTTTAGGGATGAAAACTCCACGAGAACACCACCAGAAATGGGAGAGTCACAGACAGGGGAACAACATCAGCACAGGACACGAGTGACAACAGGTGCAAACTGAAACGGGAGAGCTGACACAGGAATGGGACAGGAAACCACAGAGGGGTTCAAAGGACGGTGGGAAAGAAGCACCAGCAGCTGAAGAAAGACAAACCTCTGACAAAGGAATAAAGGTTTTAACTGGCAACTCATTTTCTAACCCTATTTAAAAGTTTTAATAAGAAACTGAACATTTCCAGGGATTCCCAAAGCCAGACAAAGCACAGTGAGAGCAGCAGGGACAAGGACTAAGAGAGGTTGGGGAAACGTTTGTGCCTGAACTAAGAACTCCTGGAGCTGCACAAGGAGGAATTATCTTTGTAGGGCAAGTGCATCCTGACTGAAAACTCATCAGAAAATGGGTTTATCTGCACTATTTCAGGGCAAGGCTGACAGGCTGGCACCTACCCTGGACCAACCCCTCCTTTATCACTTGATTTACAACACAAACAGGTGATCAGTGCACCCAAATCTACCTTAACCCAACAGAAAGGAGGGTCAAACCCACCAGTCCTTCAGAGATGTTCCACCTTCCCACCAGCCTCTTTTTATACTGCAACTGGTGCCTCAGCTTGTTAAACTAAAGCTAATCCAGGTGTGTTCCCACATCCTACAGTCACACCTGCTAATTACAACCTGCAGATATCTCAAGTCAGCCTAAAACAGAGCAAACCCCCCCCCAAAAAGCAACTTGAAGAAATTCTCCATCTCCAGCCAAGTCAGCATTTCAACTGCTCTGTCTGAAGTGAAACCCTTTGATCGACCAAGCCCCAGCTCAGAAGTTTCTTTGGCACGAGGGTTTTGCAGCACAGGGTTAAACAGGATATGGAAAATGTGTTTGAAAACAGTTTCAGTTGACTTTAATGCTAATTTAGGGGCTTTTTTAACTCCCAGGGAGGAAAACAGTTGTACAGCAGCAACCATAAACATATTGTTGAGAAGATAATGCTACTCAAGTGTTCTGCACCCAGTGAGATTTTGATGCCAGGGCCGAAGAACTTCAATAATCATGAGCTGCTTCTCCCAATTTACAAAGTAAAGTGGGATTTTAACAGTAAAACTTGTGAGACTCAGAAACTTTAAGAACCCCAAAGATGAAACAAAAAGGCCTGGTAACGTTCAGACACTTTGCAAAGGTGATGTCAAGGCAGAAAAGCAACACGTTAGATGGAAAATGATTAGGAGAAACTGAAAATAAAGCCCACTCTGCTGCCGGCTGCTCTTAGTGCAAACCCACGGGAGGAGCAGGGCGGGGAATCACTAGATGGCAGCAGAACACCCCATTTCCACGCGAGAGAAAAGAAATCAGTGAAACGTAAATAAAGAAATTTAAGATAAATAGATCGATTAAAGATAAATTAATCAATTAAGAATAAATAAAGGAAATAAAAATTAATAAAAATTAAAGAAATTAAAAATAAAGAAATCAAAACAAAGGAAGAAATTAAAGGCGAAAGAGAAATTAAAAGGAAAATCAAAAAGAAAGACATTAAAAAGGAAGAAATTAGGAAGAAATGGAATAGGAAGAAATGGAATAGGAAGAAATGGAATA